ATTTGAATTCTCTTCCTGTGCAAGTACAAACTATTCCTCCTTCTCTCTTCTTCATTTATCCCCTGGACTCGACAGAGAGGCATTCTGATAGCAGACACTGAGTGCAGTATCTCTGAAACAGACTGAAGTTCACGCCAAGATCAGTTCCTGCCTTGGTGTCTTCCTCTGCTTTTAGGCTCTTGCCACAAAACAAAAACAGGCTCTTTAGCTGTTGTGATTTTTAAAAACCCTTTGTGGGAAAGTATTGCTCTTTTTCAAACCTCAATTCCCCCTCCTACTTATCACATGAAAATAAACTAATGCCATCACATCACACACATGCACACTGTGACAAGCAGGAAAGAAACCACCAGGGGTACATGAAGTCAAACATGACACCAACTCCTCTATGTGGCTGTCCAAATGTTTTGATCAACCAAAACACTTTTTTATAGACTCCTAAGAAATCAATGATTGATAGTGGACATGTTTTCTTACATAGCTATTTTGCTGTAAAATATTTGTGGAAAATGGCTTTAATTGGTTCTACCCTCTGAAGATCAGTTAATGCTGACACCTCTATTTCCCAAGGAACTGCTGCTAGCTCTAACCACAGGGCTCTGTATTAACCCATTTTCCATTACTACAATGAAATGCCTGAGGATGGGTAACTTTATGAAGATGAGAGTATTCAGCTCACAGTTCTGGAGGTTCAGGGCATGGCCAACATCCGCTCGACTCAGGAGGATTTCCTGGTGAACGGATCACGGTGGTAGCTGCACACACAGGAGAGAGACTACTCAGCCTGACTGTTGCTGCTCTTATGGCTGTACTGGGGTTGAACCCAGCAGCTACCACAGGCTCTACAAGCACTCTACTACTGAGCTATGTCCCCAGCCCCTTTTATTTTCTGAGAAAGGGTCTTTCTTGCTAAGTTTCCTGGGGTGGCACTGAACTTAAGCTCTTCCTGCCTCCACCTCCCAAGTAGCTAGAACTACAAGCATGTAGTACCTTGCCTGCCTCTAAACTTGTTCTTTCATCACAACTCTTACTACAGAACAGACTCAGGGGATCCATAAAAACTACTTTAATCCCTCTTGAGACTGTTACCCCGATGAACTGCGAACCTCACATTTGAAGGTTCCACAATCTCTCAATACTGCCACACTGAAGACCAAGCTCCCAGCACATGAACTCTTGCGAGGCCAGTCAAACCATACCCAAACCATAGCAGGTGCCAACTGATTATTTAAAAGAACACAAAAAGTTAACTACAAGGGCATGCAAGGGTATCCTGGACTTACTGTGGAGTGAAAAAGACCAAAAAAGTAAGGAGCGTGAGCGCATTTGTGTAAAAGCAAAACAAAAAAGCATCTATGGAATCATGAGAACTGTTTTTATCTGTCCAGGGTGTGTCTGGCCAATGCCCAACCCCTTTCTGACAAGGTGTCATTCCTATGGGGAGCCTCTTGTGTTTTGGAGTAGATGGGCCTTTCCTCCCAGCCAGGGTGGACCTGTGGCCCCTCCTGGTGAGCTACAGAAATCCTGTGGTGTTCAGTGAGATGTCTCAGAATGGCTTGTTCCCCCTCGGATTTGCTAAACTGGTAACTACTGGTGGGAGGGAAAAGCCCAGAGGTGAGGCCCAGGAGAAGCAACCAGACCCAAGAACCAGGCACAGTGCCTTGACAGCTCTCTGACCCTTGGATCCAGTTCGTAATTCCCTAACTCAATACATTATCTTCTGACTGAGTGTTGGGCAGAGGGGGAGAGAGAAAGTCTTAACTGAGTTTAAATTGGAATGGTGCAATTTTCTGAAAATTTTCAAAACACAAGAACAAAATGCAAGTGTGGTAGTACATGCCTATAATCCCAGCACTCTGGGAGGCTAAGGCAGGAGGATCACAAGTTTAAGTCTAAATGGGGCAAATCAGCAAGATCATGTCTCAAAAATTTTAAAAAAGGGCTGGAGCTGGAGCTCAGCATAAAACTCCTCAGTTCAAAAAAACTACAGGCAGAGAGATACTGTGTAGCTGGTTTTGAGGAAGGGGGAAAGAGCCACGAGCCAAGAACTGCAGGCAGCTACAGAATCTGGAAAAACCGCAGGATTATGTTCTCCCTGGAAGGTCCTAAAAGGGACTGGGCCCAGCACAAACACATCGACATCTACTACACAGCTGGAAGACAACAGGCTGGCATGACAGCCAGTCACTGAAGCAGTCTACTACGGACCGAGGCGGTGCTCCCAGAAGGATCCCAACGTCATCTCTGTGGAACAGGATGGGAGTGGGAGATGAAAATTGTAAACGTAAGGATATATTATGTTAATCACTTGGAAAAGCTAGTCTTAAATATACTGAAGAAGGCAAGCAGGACATGTAAGAATCACGGCTTGTTGTCATCCACCCAGGAGGCCAGGACAGGGGCTGCTCTACAGACCCAGCAGGGTGACCCTTTGCTGGCCTGTGAGGAGTCCCCACCACACCAGACTGCTAACACAGGGGGCTGCATCCCACCCAGGCACCCTGGGGACCAGTGCAACACCACACCCACAGCACCCACAGCAGGCCATCCACTGCTGTACAAGGGCCAAGCAGCTCTCAGGTAGGCTCTTGAAACTGCTCTTGGAGACGGGGCTGAGGAGGCCAGGAAAAGAAGCCAGAATAGTAACTGGCCTAGATTACAATTAGCGTGCTTTCAATAGAAAGCCAACAAATTGCCAACAAATTGCTATGCTAGTGAAGAGCTGCCTGCTCTGCAGTGAGCATGTAGAGAGACTGCTGAATTGTAAGAGGTTTTCATGCAGGGGGAAGGGAAAGCTCCTCTCTAGTCATTTTCTTACCCAGTGCTTAAGACACAACACCAGAGTACGCCTGTCCGGCCTGCCAGCCGAAGCAACTCTCTACATGACAGGCTTTCACAGCACCCAGGGCACACCAGCCTATGTGTGATAAATCCCACAAGAAGCTTCTGATAGTGGCGCACGCCTGTAATCCTACGCAGGAGGCTGCAACAGGAGAATCTAAAGTTCAAGGCCAGTACGAGCAGCTTACTGAGACCACCTCAAAATAAGTCTTAAAAAGCTCTGGGGACATAGCTCAGTGGCAGAATACTTACTTAACACATGCAAGGCCCTGGGTTCAATTCCCAGCACTGCCAAAAACCAAAACCAAAGTTAGAAAAGTTATTTTAAAAAAGAAACATCTGTTTCCCTCAAATGCCCCTATTAACAAGTAAGCCACGGTGCTTCTCGCACTGAATACACACCCTTTCTAAATTCAATGCACATAGGGGCTGGGGATTTAGCTCAGCAGCATAGCACCTGCCTGGCAAGTGCAAGGTCATGAGTTCGATTCCCGGTACCAGAAAAAAAAAACCAAAAAAAAAAAAAAAAGAAAGAAAAAATAAATAAATAAATTCAATGCACAAGAAGTCTAATACATTCTTCCAAGTTTGTTTATTTTTTTTTTTCCTGAGACAAGAGTCTCACTATGTAGTTCAGGCTGGACTTCAGTTCACTATGTAAGCGTAGGCTGGCCTTGAAATCACAGCAAGCTTCCTGCCTAAGCTTCCTGCCTCAGCCTCCCGAGTGCTGAGATTACAGGTGTGCGCCACCATGCCTGGCACACACTCTTCTAAGTTTAGAGGGAGGGAGGTCCACTTGGCCACCTACAGAATTGCTTTGGTCTGTTATGCAAAGGACTACAGTGACAAAACAACACAGCCCAAAATACTTCATTGCTCTTTGGCTTGGTTACTGTCACATGTGACAGGGTAAAAAAGCAGCTATTACCTGCTCCAAGAACATTTCTTCTCTAAACTAATAGATGATTATATTTTAATTTTCTTCTTTTCCTACATCTTTTAAACCTTCTTCTTAGTTATTCATTCATTCACTTATTTATTTTCTTTTTGAGACAAGATCTCGCTATGCAGTTCAGGATGGCCTTAAGCTTACTTTGTAGCCCAGACTGGTCTTGAACTGAGGCACAATCCTCCTGCCTCAGCTTCCCAAGTGCTGGGATTATAGGCTTGTGCCACCATGTCCAGCTTTTCTTAGTTTAAAAAATGATATAGTTACAGAGAGAAAGAAAAATCCTAAGGCAAGAGGCCTAAGCCAAAGTATAAAATACAAGGCATATGAATAAAACATACTGAGGATGTAAGTCAGATCTCTTTGGACTTTCCCATGTGTCAACCAGGAATAAACTGCAATCAATTTTAGATTCAAATTTAAGGACAGAAGGCTAATTTGATAAGTGAGGCAGAAAATTTATTTCACATATTAACCAGAATTTTAGATTGACTTCTGCCCTAAAAGCAACTAAGTTTTAAAATGGTAAATGTATTAAAGTAGTTAAGAGAGCTGGGCACAGTGGCATATGTCTGTAATTCCAGTCGCTCAGGACACTGAGGCAAGGAGGAGCCAAATTTGAGGCCTGCCTGGGCAACTTAGTGAGACTCCATTTCAAAATAAAAATTAAAAGGCTGGAGATGCAGCTCATATTAAGTGTTCCTTGCTTTGATCCCTTGTACCAAAAAAAGGGAGGGAGGCAGCAGGAAGCTAGAGCAGTGTTGGATTTCGCTTACTATAGATAATGTATCTTTAGAAAGACTTCAGCACAGGTTACTATGGTACTAGAATCAGAAACCCTAGGATCAGATTCTTAAAAGAACTTTGAATATTTTCACTATAGGCATGGCAGTTCCTTCTTTCAACTTCCTGTACCTACTTGGTCTCCCTGTCTACTAAAAATTACAATAAATGTTTTAGTAACAATATTAAACTGGCCAGCTGCTTGACCATGTGACAGAAATAAAAATAACTTGAATATCACAAACCATACATATACCCAAATGTACCTCTCAATCTTTACAACGGTGTGACATAAGAACAGCAAGTATTATTGCCTTGCTTTACTGAAGAAATAAAGGAGTGAAAGTGCCACTTTTCTGGAAGCTTGCCCCTCTCCAGCACCAAAGGGTCAGAGGTCTCTCGGGACAGTAGGTGATGAACCACTTACCAACACACAGGATGTTGAAACAGAATCCTTGAGACGTAGACTTGTTGACCAGCTGGTCAGGCAGACTGTCAAATCCAACATGGCCAGAAAGGGACAAGTTTCGAAGTTCTTCACTCTGGAATTGCAGAGGAGAAATGTCTGAGAGGCTGTGAACAATACTTTCTCCATCCTGTCCCTCTCTCATGCCCAGAAAGAAGATCCCTTTATGCCTGAATGCTTCTTGGCTTCCTCACAGAGATGCTGTCAGCTCCAAAGCCACATTCTCACTACAAAACCAGTCTCTCTTCCAGAAAGACCACCTCCTAAGGGCTTCATCCTAGTTTTCCAATCCCAGGAAATAGGAGCTTCTAAAAGTAGATATTTCAGATATGCAGTAAGTGACATAAAAACTCCAAACATTTTGATGATTTCCATCATTCATTCACAACTTCCACTTTATTTTTAACTTACCGTTAAATATTCTTCTAAATGCATAAAGGAGCTTTGTTTGTGACAGGGATTTCAACTAAGGCAATGTTGTAACAACCATAATGGGATGTATCTAAATCTTTTCAGCATCAAACTAGCTCAGTCTCCTGCACTTAGAGAAGAAGCCCAAAGTGGCTCTCCCGCTTCTGTTCTCACACAGGCTGTGCCCCAACAGGACCTCTTAGAACATGAGCACAGAGACTGGGTAAGGCAACTAGCAGATGTTTGGAAAGACGGGTGCTGTCACTGTTTGGCTGAGATAATGCTGACTGCTTCCGCACTCTGAGTGCCTCTCATGGATATTAAAGGTAATCTGTGAATGTTCTCTTTCCTGGGAAACAGGGCTTATCCAGGGTCTTTAGATCACAATACCTTGGTTATGGTTCACAATTCCAGACGGAGATATTGAAAGTCTTTTCCCTGAAGATAAGATTCCTAATGCTCTGGCTATGTTACCAATGAGCTTCATGTTCAAAATACCGAAGCTTGAGTGAGCCTCACAGTGCCAATTTTTAAAGAAAATGCTTTGTGTGGAATCATTTAGTCAATAATTCTAAAGACTAGTTTTCATTATCCTTCTATTTTTACATTGTATAACTGTAACAGTGATTTCTTTTAATACTCAAAGACTGAAGTTCTATTTTCAAATTTCTATGGTTACTATATAGGTACAGAAACGTGGCTCCATTACTGTAGTAACTTTAATGGCTTATTAATAGTCCGTACTAGCTGTAAAATTCTGATTCTGTGAAATACAACTGAAACCCACCAACACTGCTTGAGTACCATGGTGGCAGCTGTGGATCTGAGTTCAAGAGAATAGAGAACAGATGTCAGATCCATGAATAGTTTCCTTGAAACCTGCCAGCAGCAACCAGAGACTCAAGAGCAGGCACTTATCCTTGAACGCGGCAGCAGGTGCAACCCATCACACAGCCTCGGGGGCAGCCCGGGAGGTCTCCCAGCAGCACTGGGCTTTAGCCAGCCCAGACAGTACCTGCCTCTTCCTCTTCAGACACCTTAAGGGTTCAGACAGCAGGTATTTTTAGGGTGTTTACCACATCCGGCAAGACTTGGGGGAGGATCTGAAATGAGTCCCAGGTTATATTTAGAACTGTTTCCATCACAGCTGCATGATGGTGGCAAGCGTCAGGCCCGGGGAAACCATCAGCCCAGCTCTCACTTCTGCCGCTGCACAGGCCTGAGCAGCCTGCTATGCATGAAAGGAGCCCGGACACGGGAAGCAGCATCTCACATTCCCTCGCCTCACCATCACAACGATTCCTTTCATTCCTGCAGGGGTGGTTACTGCTGTGGATTCTGGCTTCTTGGGTTTCTAGATACCAGATATCCACATGAGCCAACCCTCGGAAAGAATCAGAGTTTGTAATTATAGCTCTCATCCCAGAATCCAAAGCTCTGCCATCTCATATTCTCACCGTTTTCCAAAACACGAGAAGCCACCCACACACCCACAGAGTGTATTTATACCCATTGAAAACCACATGCAAAAATGAAGGGTTATAAAACATTTTGCTCTTAGAATTTTTGAAATTTAAAATTGCGTCTTTAGTGTCTCTGTCTTCTAAATTTGTGGTATAAAATATGTAGATTTTATAATGCACTTCTTCAATTTCAAAGTCTGAGCTTCATTCTCTGTACAAGATTCCATGGGAGCGTGGCTGCCCATCAGTGTGGTGGGCAAAAAGGAAATAGGAGCTTCTCCTCTGTGGCCTCAGCACCAGAAAGCCTGAGGTAAAGGCTGAGGGGCTCTGAGCAACTCACCTGTGACTCACACACCAGCAGAACTGAAGTCCTACAGCCAGCACTTCATGGCTTCTGCCCTAAACGTCACTATGGAATGCAAGGTCTCTTTTGAGTCCATAGACCAGTTTCAAGTAACTGCATATATTCTTATATAACCCACATTACCACACATGGAAGTAATCCCCCCAATTTTACCTCAGATATTCAACTATTTAGTTCTCTAGGCAACAGGGGGGTTCTCTTCAGTTTTCTTAACTGTACCATAAGGTGATGTTCACAAAACTGAATCACAGCCTTCCACCCCAAACCCACCTTTCTCCAGAACCTCCTCATTCAGTTAAAGGTACTCACCTATGCTTGAGGCCATACCCTTGGTTCCAACAATCCCAAGTCTTATTACTTCTACATCCCCTTCTTCTTCATGCTGAGTAACTCAACAGCTCCCAGCTGGTCTCCCTGCCTGACCCCATCCATCTCTGGCCCTTCCTCTCTCTGCCTTGCCGCCAACGGGAATTTGGTACTTAGAGGCTCCCAACCCAAACTCCTTGGCCTGCTACCTCAGGGCTTCAATGGGCTGAGAATCTAAATATTCACTGGACTGGGTGCCTCACTTCTACCCAGGGAGAATGTGACCCTGCAGTTACACTGGACACACCTGGGTGTCTTCCCACCAGAATACTGTAGTGACTCATCATTTCTTCCTACCTGGAAGGGACTCATATGCAGTATTTATACATCCAAACCTCGCAAACCCCACTGACATATTACTTTCAAAACCATCTCTATTACAAAATCTCAGGAAAAATTTCAGCAAACATTCCCCTTGCCCATAAAAGTACAACCCTGATTGAAAAAAGGTGGCTTGAGGTATCCGGTATTCTATGATCATAATAACAGCTAACATTTATTGACCATTTCCAAGGTTCCCAAAAATCCTTAAACATAAATGAACTAATGCATTTCTCTTGATAATTATATGACATAACTGTGACTAACTATACAACCTAACTTATAAATGAGAACACGGAAGCACTGAAGGTTAGCAACTTGCCCAGGTCAGTTAGCAAGCTGAGGAGCTGAAATCTGAACGCGGGAGGCCAGAGTCTTTGCCCTTACTTTCTCAGTGATCTAGGATTTTGCCAGGCAGCCCTAGAAACTGCAATGCATTCAAATGCTATAAAAACCCAGTATGTTCACATAGAAAGAAAAAACACTCTACAGCCACAATTTTTCTGGCAATCACAAAGGTTGGAAATTGAGAATCAGAATTGACAAGGTAATGCCAAGTATATTTGCACTAGTCCTGGCAATGCCAAGACCAGACTATTTTGCAGCTATGGTGTACAGAGCCTCTAATGTAAGGCTTGGTTTTAATCATTTTCAAAGCAAAAGTGCCCACATGAAGCCACTAAGTAACTGTAAGACCTTCACTGATTTAGGCCTCCATTTGCTAATCTATCTGTTGAAGATTTATTAGATGATTGCTATAGCCCACTCCATCTTGAAAATGGTTATGATTAAATTCAGTGATATAAAATAGCCCATCTTTAACTTGACTACTTCTAAAATATGACTACTTCTAAAATAGCCCATCTCTAACTTGACTAATTTTTCTTTTAGAACCTCTCTTGAATACAGTTATTTGTTCATTCAGAAATACTACCCAAAGCACTAAAATATCTTCTTTCTGTTATTCACTAATAAACTCTGTTGCTAGCCCTAAGAACTGTACAATGTGGCAGTAGAAATTAGCCATATGTTATGGTTTGTGTCTGTGTGTCCCCCCAAAGCCTTATGCGGTCATGGGGCAGGCTTTTAGAGATCCATTGATTATGGGTGTGAGAGCTACACCCGCCCTGGGATGGATAGTCTGCATATGTAAGGGAGAGGAAGAGGCTGCTTGCGGCCATTCCTCCCTTTCAGTGGTTGTTGCTTTTGCTGTGTTCTGCCTCCATGAGCTGTAGCCCTCTGCCGTGTGCCACTCTGCCTTGTAACCTGCAAAGTATGGACTAAAACCTCCACAAACTGTAAGCAAAATAAACCTTTCCTTCCTTAATTTTGGGCATCAAGTATTTTGTCCCAGCAATGAGAGAAAAGTAACCAAGACACCATACTAACATTTAGTAACATTACCAAACACAAAAGTCATAAATATTGTCACTTTCATTGTAGAGAATTCACTTTTGGCCACTGAAATGAAGGGGCACCTGAGTTCCCCACATCTACCAAGCAAAACAAAAGCACAGGTGGCAGAAGCCTTCTAGATAAATGCTATCTGTGCCCAAAAGGTCACTTTAACATAAAAATATACACTGAAATTCATAATTGCCAAGTTTTTCAAAAATGCCCAGCTGACTTCATTATCGAGATAATTATAGAACAACTTATATAAGAATGTGTGCCAACACCTACATTCTGAGTGCTGCTATAAAGTATGCTCCACAATTCCAAATCTTGCTTAGCCAGAGAAGGACAGCTGAAGGCTTGGATTCTGATAGCCATGGTTTCGAACCTCAGCTCCGCTTACCCCTCCACCCCCGTTCTGTCACCAATTAAAATGAAGCACTTGGCAGGGTTGCATTTAATGGGTCCTCAGGAAAGCTGGGTTTTCTTTCCCTAAATTAGGTGGGAGGAAAAGATAAATATAATTTTGAAGTCTGAAGTGAAACAGGAGTTCTGTTATTGCTGCTAGGCATTCCAGGAGAAGCTGCTGATGGAAGCTCCTGGATTAAATGAGAAATTAAAATCACAAAGGGAAGAGCAAAGAGAACAAAAAAAAGGAGATAGTTTTGTTCTAACATGAAGAAAATGTCCCTTCAAATAGGAAACTCACTTATAAAGCTGGAGGAGAAAAAAAAAAAAAAATCACAGAAAAAAATT